GGCAGGAGCATTACAAAGCCCAAAAGGCATTACGTTTAATTCGTAGAGGCCATCTGGTGTAATGAACGCAGTTTTCTGGCAATCAGCTTCTGCCATAGGAACCTGCCAGTATTCAGATCGTAAGTCTAAGGAGGAGAAGAATTCGGTTCTTTGGAGGCTGTCAAGGGTGTCGTCGATGCTCAGTAATGGATAAACGTCTTTCTGCGTCACTTTGTATAATCGCTGGTAGTCGACGCAAAATCTTATCGATCCGTCCTTAGTTCGAACTAGAATGACAGGAGATGCCCAAGGACTGTGCGATAGTTGAATAACGCGACGGCGTAGCATCTCTTCGACCTGGTCGTTGATGACGTGACGTTCTGCAGCAGAGATGCATTACGGTCTTTGACGCAATGGCTGGTGCGAACCGATGTGAATGTTAGTGGTGCACTGCGGAAGTGCGACCCAATTGCGGCTGAGAAACGTCGAATGAATTCGCGAAGTGCTGGAGGAGATTAAGGAGCTCGGCGCGTTCTTGAGCACTTAGTGTCGGCGAAGGAACTCGAGATGTCCCTCGACGAGCATTCCAGTGGGGAAAAGGCATGAAGTTTGGTCGGGGCGCTGCTGCGCGATTCGTATAGCGAAAATTCTTTGTTATAGCGGAAATATTGTTGAAGCGGCGCTCATTGTAGCGGGGTTTAACTGTACTTTCTTACATTAACGTGTTGCCGGATACCGGTTTGCGTTTACCGTCTTACCGGAAAGCATGTTTTTCAACGTTTTAGCTCCCCATACATAAATGTTCACGTACGTACACAAGGATATGCCTTTATGTTTTCGCACACCATAAATGGTGATGCTAACTTCATTTAAACTATCTTTTACTCAGGTAGGATTTCACCTCTCCGGCGATACCTCGAGACATTTTTTATCGTGCACAGTATCCTCATAGGCACAAAAAGGTGAAAAAATACAAGGTTACTGCCACGATGGTGTCGACACCTTGTGACGCTTCATGCAACCACAGTCATGAACTCGTTGGCTTACACGTAACGTTATTGAGCTGAAGCCTGAAAATGAATAAAATGGTAATTCATTTCTAATAATGCCGCTGCACGGTTTTTATGCCAGGCGTACAATGCATAACGTTTCTGCAATAACAATTTTGTGATTTCCTGGCTTATTTTGGCCTCGCTAGATGGTACCACCTATCCAGCCGTCAGGGGCTCACACAGTCACGATTCTGATGTTCTAGGCCAATCTAGCTTTGGTAATTCGGCTGAAACAATGTCATCGCTATTGACTCTCACATCTCAGCTTATTTTGACTCGATGGCTGGGATTTCCCAATGTGGATATTATGAGTTCCTAAGAATGAAAGTGGATTTGCAAGATAGGGCTGCAAATCTAAAGCCCACCCGGTGAGTAGCATACGTTATGCAAATGTTTATGTTCCGTAAAGACTGGCTTGGGCCCAAATTTTATTCAGTATCTAGTAGCATGGTAATGTAAAGAAGTATCAGTACTAGCTAAAAGCTCCTAGTGACCGGACGATGTGAGCGGACGATTCATAAGCTGCCATTTTTTGTTTTGGTGCTTTACGTCATCACAAGTTGACAGACTGCTGCGTGAAGTCACCTGGCTTAGTGCTGTAGCCTGACGTCAATCGAGAAATTTGACTTTAATCTCAAAATAAAATATAAGCATTTGCTGAGCGTCACGCTTGCTCAGAGCCATCTTTGTATATAGATTCGTATGGCAGAAGAAACTCGCCTCTCAAAAAAGGTGTCAGTTCCCCTTTAAAGCAGGTGTTGGCTTGGCTACTAATGGCTGTAATATCGTTTAGGTGGCGCTAGTTGTACACCATTTTTCTCAATGAAAAATGGGGCATTTTTCATAATCCTTGAATTTAAGCCGGCCCTCAAGTTTGATTCAATGAAATTTGAAAGAAAAACTTATCAGCCTAGATTAGAATAAATACGGTACTTTCTTTTTTTTAACCGCAGTATTCATGAACCGACCTTAACTTATCATGGTAAGGCTACTTACGGAAGGATGAGAAAATTATAGGTATAAGAAAATTACAAGGTGAGTTTCAGAAACCTCCCTTATCCTGTCATAAGGGCACCTTATGAAAGGCGTCCTTAACTCACCAAGGCTGTGGGTGCAAAGGTAGGTAAATATTTGTTTTAAAATCATTACCTCGAGCAGCAATAAATTATGTTTACTGCAAGAAACCAACATCAGTATACACAGTAACCAAATGCAAACAGCAGAAATGTTTGTTAAAGCGGCGGAAGTTCTCTGTGAAATACACATTTTTCGTCTGGCCACTTTTCTGCAACTCTAGTCGACGCAGTGAGGTGGTCAGGTCACTTTTGTTATTTCGGCGTCATCTATGTTTGTGTCGTGTTTATTGCCTGTGTCGTGTTTATTGCTGTTATGCTCTCTTCAACGTTTGCTGTTTTCTTTCACTTTTTTTTTTAATTTCACTGGATTTATTTTGATAGCTTGAGCGGTACAATGGCACTTTTTAAGAAGTTTCATTTGTAGTAGAACAATGAACTGAAGTGAACTTCACCGACGAAGTGAATACGTCCTGACGGATTTCGTCAACAAGTACCTGTTAACAAAATGGACGTCGTGCGCCTTCAGAGAAAACGAAAAACGTGGACGCAGCTCGGGATGGAATTCAACAGTTCAACAGTTGACCCAATGTCAACTAGAAAAGTGTTTGTGCCATTTCGTGAAGTTTCACTGGCATGGGAAAAGTGTTTTTGCAACCATAGCTGATATCCACTGGAGTGCGTACTCTTGACACGGTTGGCTACGAGACATGAACAAGGCTCCCATGTTGAAATGTGCCAACTCCATAAAAGCGCAATGCGATGAGCAGTTGTATGAAATGGGGCACAACAAATGAACGACCATAGATATTTTTCTACAGAAACAGCACAGCGAGCATATTCCTTGCAGCACTTTTTGTGTAGCGGGGATGGCGCGAAAATTCCTGCTAGTCGTAGGTCTCAACCAGGTTCCATCGAGCATGAACTCTTTCGCTACCACAGGAAAAGGGGTAATTTTAAGAGGTGTAAAAAACAATCTTTTATGGCTAGATAGTATTGCCTTAGTTACATTATTTCGTACCAAACTCTAGCTAAAGGAATGGTCCGTCCAATAACATAAATGTACCATAAATATTTATTGTATACATTAGGTAAAAATGTCTCAAATGAAACATTTTTGCCGTGATTATAGTTAACACGTTAAAAAGGAGAAGAACTTGAAAAATAACGAGGTTAAAGATATACAATTTGTAGCTTCTTATATTGCAAAAAGATTGTAAAAGTTTCAAAAACTATTGCCATAAACTGTTCTTTCTACAGAAAAGGGGGTTAGTGGGTATGCTGCCGTAGATGGGTTACCCTGTGCAGCTTGCCATCGCAGATGGGGTTGGCCTGCGCTGAGTCCAGGACCCTTAAAAGGCAAGGAACGAATGAAAATGGCTTCTGAGTATAATATTCAAAGAAATCAGGCCTGAAAATAACTCTGAGATAATCCAGTGGAGATGAAGGTGAGGTAACTCAACGATTTCCATGTAAATGAGGATTCTAATGCACTTTCTCACTTCATCGGGAGTGAAGTTTCTCCACGAACCAACCCTTCTCGCATATGTCTGCCTCTCTAAAACATGCATTCACGCATATCTGTGGGTCTAGTCCCAGATCATGCTGGTCAGCTGTGTAGTGAAAAAGAGCTGGATGAAATCGACGGCCCGGAAGAAACGCCGTGAGTTACTATTAAGTGCGCCTCTGACTTCGACTGCCAGGTTTCGTCTCGAAAGACACTACACACGCTTGACAGATGCCGGCCGGGAATCATGTCCGTAGAACATTGAGACCCTCGAAAGGAGTAAAATTTCTATGAGTACACACTCCGGCACCCGTAACTACTAGTTAGACAATAAAATAGGCACATACACTTACAGCCAGCACGCAGTCACTAAATTTTGCGGCTTGACTTGACGCATCCTCGTCATCTTGGCAGAAATTCGATGCGCCAACATCATCTCCAGACTGACTGCTGCTGATTCCATTTAAAATCTGCTGTTGATGCGCTCAATTCACGAGAAACGCGTCGTCTTCTAGAACCATCCGCATGAAAAAACGACGTCGGGATTGGCGCGCACACGCAGGTACCTGAAGCTTATTGAGGCGAGAGAAAAACTTCTCTAAAGCAAAAAACAACAAAAACATGACGGATCTCGTTGTACACTGCCCACTTTCTTACATAGATGGCATTAGGTGCCTGCAAACTCCGTGAGCGTGCGAGAATTAAAACTTGAAAATGCATCATTAAATTGAACGATTTGAATAGGCGTGGTAGCAAAAGAGTTAAGGACTCGCCGTGGCGGTGACATTTGTGTGCACATTGTGCCGTTCAGTATTTTTTCTTTGCGGGCCACATAATAACAGAATACGTAAAGTGTTCCCCCGCCATGTTGTTAAGGAAGCCTTAAGGTAGGTCATTGGCTACCTTAACCGTGCCTTACTTAAGTACGAGGAAAGTTCCGCAATACCTACTAGGTAGATTCGTGAAACGGGTCAAGGGCAGACTTATGGCTAAGGTTCACTTAAGTCATAAGGATGAGCTTAAGTTAGGTTTATGAGAACAGGAATAAGGCATCTGATGCAGTCACCTTGTCTTGTAACGTATAACTGCAAAACAAGAACTCTATATTTCAGGATTGGTGTCCAGATTATGAAGATCGATATCGATATATTTCTGTAGTCCTGACCCATATATGAGAACTCACTCAATATATGATGTACGGGAAAGCCTAGTCTATGAAATTGGGATGTTAGCTAACATTTTGTTCGTCCCCCTTCCCCTCCCCGGCTCTTGCGGGACTTAATTTCGTGACTGTGGCCCAGTAGCTGATGTGAATTTGACACACCTGATCTGAGGCCGCTTATTGCATTACCGTCCCTGTCACCAACATTGTCTTGCTCTGATGTGCAGATCTGGATGTGTGGAGGGCGGTTGGAGATCCTGCCCTGCTCACGGGTAGGGCATGTGTTTCGCCGCAGACGCCCCTACGGATCCCCTAGTGGCGAGGACACACTGACAAAGAACTCGCTTCGCGTGGCGCACGTCTGGATGGACGAGTACAAGGTATGCCTCACATGTAATCTACTGCTTGCTTCTCACCCGTCACTCAGTTGCAGTACATTAGAATGTTGGTAAACTGGGCATTGTTTATTCAACAGTATGACCACTCATCCGATTATTCCAAGTCTTCTCCTGCTAGTCACCTGAAGCTTGTAAAACAAAGTTGGGTGGGTTATTGTCATGATGTTAGCAAGTCACGGTCTCATGAAGGTTTGCATAGAAAGCGATGATGTAATCATCATCGACAAAGAAGAGACCATTTGTGCACACAAACACTCCGTATAGCACAGGGGACTCTCAATAAACGCAACCTCACAAAGGGACCAGCTCTCTATAACAGGGGTTCTGATTACTGACCAGGCATGCAGAATGCAAGAAAAACAACCTATCTTGTCAGAAGCAGTTGTTCCGTTTACTGACCAATCTTGTCAGAAGCGGTTGTTCTGTTAAAGTAGCAGTTCCGTTCATCAGACTTCAGGCTTACAGAAATTCTGCTGTGCAGTGAAACCCTCGGGATACAATTCTCGTGGGGTAACGAAAAATATTTGTATCATCCAAAATTCGTATCTCCAGAGAACATGGCAAATGCCTCTAGACACTCGCACATTCATGCACACTTTCATTCAAGAAATGCCCAGCATACGAAGTCATTCTTGAGGGGAAGCATGTGGGAATGTGTGAGTGTTTTGAAGAATTACGAAGTTACACTGAGATACAATATTGTCATGGCGTCATGCCGGCAAAGGGAGCAGACTGGATGTTCAAATGAAACTGTTCATCAGGCCGAACTTGTGGCTGGTAAACAGAAAGTCAGATTACAGCAACACACTGGCACTGATAACAGCGAACAGAACGTTGGCCGTCGATCAACTGACAAGCAATGACGTGCGTCGGCATTTATACATGTGCCATCGAATATTTGAGCGCTATTGCTAACAGCAAGGTAAGTTCCAAAAGAATCTGTAATGTTCCCGTTGTGGGCGTAATCGCATGTGAAATTACTACGGTATCTCGATGGTTCTTTAGACAATGGGTGTGGTTGTGCAAGGCAGCACATACACGTGTAATGTGGCGATAAGGAAACTTGAGAAAGAAGCGTGGCGTTGCCCCCCTCTGAAAAAAGCATCGTCTCGATGCTTTAACAGAAGATACAAATGCAATAATAATGCGAGAAAGTATGAGCGAGAAACTACAATACAGCAGCAACAACACCAACAAAATACACTCTATACATGAAACGGCTTGAGACGCATGGCACGGACGACTTTAGGTCACGATTGGCACCATTGAGAGTTCTTGATGCTGTCGGGAACAACCTCGTAGTTGAGTGGGCTGAGATGTCAAACTACCTGTATGGTTTGAAGTACCGTCGCAGAAGCTTTTCACTCACTCCACATCGGCACATCGGCGTCCATACCCAAGCACGTTTACCGGGCTGGTATTCCACGAAACTTCGTCGTAGATTGTAATGGCGGTTGTTGATCGTTTATTAGTTCCTGATGCAGAAGCGGGCAAGCTGTCGGGCTTCTTCGGTGCGCTGAAAGTACTCACTCACATCGAGGTTTTCTTCGTCAATGACGTTGGGTAACATGGCGTAGAGTGTCGTTGCTGCAGTCCTTCTGTAGACCAACCTGTACGACGTCATCTGTGTCGTTTCTTATACGGAGGCGTTGTATGCAAGTGTTACGTAAGGAAGAGTTGGGCTTCAGGTCTTGCGTACGACGTCAATGTGCATGGCCAGCTTATCGGCGATGGTCTTATTAAAAGGGGATGCGCCCTTTGAAAACCGAACAATCGTGAAAAAGTCAATTTTTCGAAAACCACATATTTGAGTTGTATGTCTTATAAACTATCTGTTCTGTAAATATCAATAATTAGCTCGTTGCAAAAATACGTCAAATAAATTATATAACATGCCACGGCAGCCGGCACGTGGCCAGCGAACGTTGAAAATACCCCAACTTCGCACATTTGCAATTTCCCAACCACGCGGCCCAGCGCTGCCATCTTGGTCTTGTTTTGCTCATGAATTCTCGCTCTTTTTTTTTTTTTTTTGCCACCCACGACAACAGCGGCGGCGTGGCCGAGCCAGGAATCACTCATGATTGGGGGGCTCTTGAAGTTTTAAAGTCTCCCGCGGCTCGGATGTGAAACCGCAATTTGAGGAAGCACACACCTTTCGAGGAGGGAGTGGGCAATCATTCAGCTCCTATTGGCTGCTGCGTGCGATTATGCATCTGTTCCCCAGACTCACCATCTGCTCCAGCGCTGGCCTTTCAAGCGCCGGTGTTCTCTCGCCATGATTTTTCTGTCCTGTTTGCCAGTATTCCGATCGGTTCTTGCACGTACTCTTCAATTTTTCACCGTCTATATAAGATGATCTTTCGCCATGTTCATGGGACGCTGATTGTTGTTCTGTCACTAGCGATGGGCAGGGCAAAGTTTGGGACTTGGCGCGTGTTCTATTCAAGAAAGCGTCCGATGAACCTTGTACGCATGGTGAGGCTCATTCAGGCGCCAACGCGTGGGCGTCAGTCGCATCGATACTGAGCAGCTTCTCCTTCGTCTCTTCAAGACGACTGCATTGATGCTTCTCGCGACATCAAGAATCGGCGCGACGCTCCGTCGTTACAAGTGAGGCTAATGTTGGTGTTTCGTGCTCAAGTGCGCCTTGTGCGTTGCGCTCGGTAACTGAGTGATTACGGCCTTGAACAGTGCGACTGCGTCTTCGGCTGTGCATTTGCCAACCTTTGCAGAACCTTTCCGTGTAAAAAAGGCTCAATAACAGCTGCAACACAAGCAGGAAAAGCAGAAAGGATAAAAGCCCTAAAAAAGATTTCTAGCTACTTTGAAGGGTCATTTTAAACCAAAATATGTGTTTGAAACTTTCCGTTTTCTCAATATGACTTTTTTTGGCTAGTGAGGCTGCTTAGTCTGGTGATATCTCTGCAACTGATCCTCTGAATTCTCTCAGATTTGTTTTATGATTTACCTTAATAAATAGTCCACCCACTAACAGAGCTGCTTTTTGAATTTGTTGTGTCTGTAATTTGTGATAATTAAAGTTTCATAGATAGCAGCTCGATGGCAAACACTAAATCCAGTGCTCTGCTAACAAATTTCAGCAAGGAATTTGAAAAAAAAAAGGCTGTGTCCTAGTGTAAAGGACCCATCCAGGAATCATCCAATGAATTTCATGGTGCTAGCACAATTATTAAATCAGGGTTCGTACAGGTCTTGAAATCCTTGAAAACTCTTGAATTTGAAAAATGCATTATCAAGGCCCTTGAAAGTCCTGGAATTTTCGGCATCTTTGAATTGAGCAGTGCACTCTCATATCGGCATCGCGACCTCCTAAATGTGGAACATCGGTGTGTCAGCCTGTCAAACTCCCCATTTCTGAAGCAGTAATGCAACGTGGGTGCACATGATCCCATTTTGCAAAAGTGCATGTGAAAAAAGTATGTGGCGAGGATGAAGCAGTGAATGTGACAGCAAGAAATTAGTATGTCACTTGAAGAAGGGCAAGCAATCCCATACAAGCAACGTGCTTTTCAAGCACAAAGGACGCATGAAAAGAAAGCGCATAGGACGAGTGCTGATGAACGACTGTCACAGCTCGACACTGGAAGCGTGCTGCTTGAACAAACCAAGAAGGGTGCTAGAAAAGATGATGATGATGAGTGGTTTTTAATGGCGCAAGGGCCAATTGATGGCCGAAGAGCGCCATTTTGATTGACTGGAAGGGTGCTAGAAAAGAACACACATGTATCCACAGGGTGAGTGTAAGTTAACCACTGTCACAGTTGTTACTTCTTGGTTGTTCAGCAATGTGCTGCGAGTGTCAAATGTGCACAAGCTGACACTCTTGATGGGGGGTGCCATCGAATTTGAATGCTATAGCAACCACCGTGTGGGTTTAAGAATATATTTTAAGTCACTTCTAAAGTGTACCTAAATGCTCATTCTCCTAATCAAAGGCCATTGCGAGCACGTCCAACACTGACGTAGCTCTATAGGAAGGGCAACGAAAGTTCTATTGATGTCACACCAGATCTGTAGTCAGGTGAGTGACTTCCGAACTTCTGTCCCGTACATTCTGGCAAAGCATCGCGGCTGCTGCAGATGGTGGCGAGTTTGTTTTGTAGATGCTTGTGTAGCACATGCGTGCGAAAGCTGACAATACTCAGTATAACGGGTGCAAAGCTTTGTGATTGTGTGACTAAGTCAGCTACACTGCTACGTACCTGCCCAACTTGGTTCCCACAAACAGGAACTGAGAATTGTTCGTATCAAAAAGGCGACAAATTATATAGCTAGACTAAATGAATCTTGGTGCTTGTACCGTACTTATTGGAGCTATAATTCAAGCTTGCAGCAAAGAGCACGCAAGCCACAAATATTGTGCCATGACCCCTTTAAGACCTGACTACACATGCGCGTTGAAGCCCATCAGCGCGTAACTTTTCGACATGGCATTGTGCCCTCTCCCTATGAAGAGTGTGGGAGAGGGTGTGAGAAGTTATTAAGACTATGCTCTTTTTTTTAAGATAGCGATATTCATGCATTTATTGTAAGTGCAATAATAATGGTCATTTTATAAAATTTTAGAGTGAAAAATTTCAACTTAGCATGCCGCTTTGAATCCTTGAAAAACTTGCAACAGGTCCTGGAAAGTCCTTGAATATCCTTGAATTTTCGCTTTGGAAACCTGTACGAACCCTGTTGAATTCACCAGAGTGTGACTAAGAAATGTATGTGGACTATCCTGGTAAATGGCTGTAACTTTGAAACCGATGGACCTAAATGCAGGAAGTTTTGTGGTCATTCAAATGCCTTTATTATTAGCCTACCCTGAAAATTTAATAAGGATATCTCAATAAACAAAAATGTTGCCCTTCTATGATAGCCTCCCACCTTAATTAATGGTGTCCATTTACATAAGTACAATAAAACTAGCCATATTTGAAGATTTTAGTGAAAAAAAATTCTAAGTTTGCATG